AAGAGTTCCAGTTAACCAGCAAAAAGTCAGAAGTGGAGGTGCTCAAGTGGTAGAGCACCAACCTTGAGCGGAAAAGAGCCAAACAGGAGTGCCAGGCGCTGAGCTCAAACCCCAGGACTGGCCGCACAAAGAAGCCCGCGCTCTGGCTACGTGGTGACATTCAGGACAGTTTAATGCAGCAAGAAACTGACTTGGGAAGTGATCATCTCCGGTAATTCCCGACTTTATGGCACATGGTAGGTAAACAGTGTCCAAGGGACCGGCCTAGGCCGGTGTGACGTCACCGTGCAGTGACGCCACCGACGCTCTGCACCCCGCCATCTAAATGACGTCACCGTCAGAACCTGTGCGGGCAAGTGCGCCCTTGGGGGAATTAGTAAGAAAGCTGGCGGCCCGAGGCGTCCAGAGAGCTGGAGAACGGAAAAGACAGCAAAACTGGCAGGTCCCGGTGGCCGGTGCGCGGCGCCCCGCCTCTTACCGGGCTGGCTCCACCCCCCCCTGTGATTGACGCGCAGGCCTGGATGACGCGCAGCCTATCAGCAGCCGGGGCTCGCCGGGCACTTCCGCGTTAGCGCCGGCCGGAGGCCGCAGGGGCGGGGCGAGGGCGTGGCCTACGCCGTCCCGCATCCCCGCAGGGTCCGCAGGGTCTCCGCTCGCCGCCTCCAGGGGCGTCTGATGGCCTCGGAAAGCCCGGCGGGGGCTCTGGCGGCCGTGCTGGGGGGCCAGGGGCTACTCGTGCACAGGTATGACTCAGAGCCCGCCGGCCACCCGCCGGTGCCGGTGAGGCTGCGGAAGAACGTCTGCTACGTGGTGGTGGCCGTGTTCCTCAACGAGCAGGTGAGCCTCCACCCGCCGGCCTCCGCCCGCCGGCCTCCGCCCGCCAGGCCTGGGGCGCGCGCCGCCGCTCAGCCCCCGAGGGGACCGGCGAGCAAACAGCCAACGGCAGGCCGCACTCGCATCCCCAGTGTTGCAAAGCACTCTGACATTGGCGTCCGGAAAAACGGGAGGAGGCGGAGGGCGGCCGAGGCCTGAGAGGGCATCCGTCCCATCCGCTAGGCCTGAGCTCCCCAAGGGGAGGGCTGAGCTATGCCTCCCTAGTCCAGTTCGGTGCCCCAGCCTAGAAGTCGCTGCAATGGCTACCCAGGGCTTCTCAGACCTCGCTTGGTTCCCCAGATAGTAATGGGAAGCTTACGCTCCAGCTGGCCCCGGGCCCCTTCCCCGCCCCCCTCCCCCCCAGCACCTGTTGGTGCCCCTCACTGTAGGAGTCAGTGTGATAGCAACTCTAAGGACCAGGGTAATCGGGTGGTGTGGGCGGTGGGAGTGAGTTTCAAAGCTCTGACGCCAGAGTGGAGACCACCATAAGCAGTTTGTAAGCCCCACAGGGAGTGAAGCTACACCACCACCTACACAGAAGTGGGTCTGTGAACAGGTGGCACCCCCTCCGGTCTCTGCCCCTGTCAGTTCCTAGGGATCTCAGGTCATTTCCTACAACAGAAATCTCTCTGAACCCAAAGAGGGAGGTAGGCAGGAGCTAGTTGCAGCCTCTGGCCACCCAGGGACCCACTTCCTGGACATCCTGAAGGTGTCCATCAGGAAGGGAGTCTTGGGCCCTTGCTTTTGAAAACAGGGCCCCCAGGGCAAAGCAGGCTGCTTGTGGGACTGCTCTCCTGGAGCGCTCAGCCTGGCGGTGGTGGAGGCATGAAGACTTTCTCTCTGCTCTCCACCCCCCCCCTCAGGATGAGGTGCTATTGATCCAGGAAGCCAAGAGGGAGTGCCGGGGGTCCTGGTACCTCCCAGCAGGGAGGATGGAACCTGGGGAGACCATCGTGGAGGCAATGCGGCGGGAAGTGAAGGAGGAGGCTGGACTGCACTGTGACCCTGTGACTCTGCTGTCTGTGGAGGAGCGGGGTCCCTCCTGGATCCGCTTTGTGTTCCTCGCTCGCCCCACAGGTACAGCCCAACTGGTGGCATGCGAACAGGGGTCCATTGCCACGTTCCCCCTGGTTTGTCCTCTGGTGAGCGGAGTCCCCCCCTCTGCAGGCGGCCTCCGCACTAACCCGCCTAGATGCATATTTAGGCATTTCTCTTAACACACAAACACCTTCCACCTCCTTTAGGTGGAACTCTCAAGACTTCCAAGGAAGCAGATGCAGAGTCCCTGCAGGCTGGCTGGTACCCTCGGCTGTCCCTGCCCGCTCCACTGCGGGCCCGTGACGTCCTGTATGTGGTAGAGTTAGCCGCTCAGTACCTGCAGCAGGCCAGCCATCCCCTTGTTCTGCCCCAGGAGCTCCCGTGCAGTCTGGTCTGCCAGCGGCTCGTAGCCACCTTCACCAGTGTCCAGACAGTGTGGGTGTTGGTGGGTACATCGGGGGTACCTCACTTACCCATCACCGCCTGTGGCTTTACCCCCATGGAGCAGAGGGGAGGCATTAAGGTAGCCATCCTGCGCTTGCTACAGGAGTGTCTGACGTTGCACAATTTGGCAGTAGAGACCAAGGGCTTGCTGGGACTGCAGCATCTGGGCAGAGAGAATATAGACGGCATCTGCATGAATGTGCTGGTGACCGTGGCTTTTCGGAACCCAGGAATGGAAGATGAGCCGCCAAAGGTTCGGAGTGAGAACTACTTTTGGTGGAAGGTGATGGAGGAAGATCTACAGAAACAGCTCCTACAGAGACTCCAGGACTCCTCTGTTGTCCCAGTGAGCAGATAGGGTGATGTGGGCAGTGATTGCAGCAGCCCTGGTCTCCTTGCCGGGCAGGCGGGCAGGCAGGCAGGCGGCTACCCAAGTCAGGGATCTTAATGCACTGGATGCAGGGGTGCCACTCCAGGTTCCCAGGAGACAGACCCACACTGCATCCGATTGGACAGTGCCTTCTACCCAGCATATGGGCCAGAGCTCAAGGACTGAATTGCCCTGAGGACACATGATGTTTGTTTCTCCTCAAGGGAGAGGGGAGCTTTCTAAAATGCAGATGGATTTCCCTTATTTTCTGTATCTGTATTCTTCATAAAGGCTGCATGCTGAGCCTTTGGGGCATTTAGAACTTGGCGGAGGGTTTTCCTTACTGAGTAAACAGTGCTGTTTACAACCATTTCTTGCCTAAATGCCTATAGGGAGCAGGCTGTCTTGGAGAACTGCTGTCCCCTGGTCTTGCCCACAGCCACCCAGACACCGCTGGGGAACAGTGTCCCGGTGCCCCTATGTGTACAGATGCTCTTGCATGGCCACTGGGCTGTGGGTGCAAGTGACCCATGCTCTCCACGGTGATCTCGGCCCACCAGTGCTCGTGCCAGCTCTCCTGTCCTGCTGGGATGGGCCCCCTTAGGGGGGGGTCTTTCCCAGGAAAGACCTTGCTAGGGGCTGAGTGGTGGGGAACACTAAGTGTAGCCTTCTGCCCACATTTCCTTCCCCTTGAGCTTCCTAGGGCTTTCATCCTACTGGTTTCCTATCCTGCCTTCTGCCTTTGACAATTTTAATCCAAACCAGATGGCACCCTCCCGCCCCCCCCCCTTTTTTCCCCAGTTCCCTCAGCCCAGTGGAATCATGGCAGAATTATTTTTTGGGGGAAGGGTCAGTCATGGGGCTTCAACTCTGGGCCTGGGCGCTGTCCCTCAGCTTTTCAGCTCAAGGCTAGTACTCTACCACTTGAGCCACAGCACCAATTCTGGTTTTCTGGTAGTTAATTGGAGATAAGTCTCACGGACTTTCCTACCGGGACTGGCTTTGAACCATGATCCTCAGATCTCAGTCTCCTGAGTAGCTAGGATTATAGGCGTGAGCCACCAGCACCCGGCTAGGATTTTTTTTTTAAGTAAAAGAATTAGGGGGAAAAAAATGAAGTTGACGGCCAAACAAAAATATATGATGTGCTGATCACGGCCTCTAAGGTGACTGAGCATCCTCTGAGTGTCACTATAGACTGAGGAGCCAGGTAGGAGTTCTTGGCCCCTCTGAGGACATTCTTTCTTAGTGTCTGGGGAAACCTGTCACACACACACACCCCTCCCAATTCCCAGCCCACACCACTTAGATGATACTACCACTATTTAGCCTGTTGGGCCTTATTCTGGAGTTCATTCTGATAAATATTTTATATGATCAGAGGCACATAGGCCTTGTGCCTTTGTGTAGCCTGGTAGTTTTCAATACTGGGCACACATTAGAATCACCCAGAGAGCTACTGGACCACACAGTCCTGCCTGTGTCGGCCAAACTGCTGGAGGAGACGGGGCATTTTCCAAAGCTCCCTGGGTGAATTGTGTACGCAGGTGAAAGGAGGCCATTGGAGGGACCCTCTCCAACTTCTCAGCCTGCCTTACCCTGGTAGATCCTCAGAGTACCCTTTCCCCCTCCGCATACATTTTTTTCTTTACTGGTCATGGGGCTTGACTCAGGGCCTGGGCGCTGTCCCTGAGCTCTCTTGCTCAAAACTACTGCTCTATCACTTTGAGCCACAGCTCGACTTCCGGTTTTCTGGTGGTTAATTGGAGATAAGAGACTCCCAGACTTTCTTGCTTGGGGTGGCTTTGAACCACAATCCTCAGATCTCAGCCTCCTAAGTAGCTAGGATTACAGGCGTGAGCCACCACCACCTGGCCACACATTATTTCTTATGGTGCTTGGGATAAAGCCAAGGTCGTTGCCCATGCTGAACAAGTGCCTTACTGCAAAGTGCTCTCTCCTCTACATCTATGGACAAGGTTAGGTAGCAGGCCCACTGTTCTCTGCTGAAAGTTATGCAGCACGCAGACATTGCCACTTAGCCTTGCCCTTCAGGGTGGCTCTGTGACAGCTGGGCTGAGTCCTAGGTGAGCCAGGAATCTGGTTCCCAGGTTGGGGAGAAGAGTATTGGGTTTGTACTGCCAGAGCCCACTCCTCTTTCTAGGTCTGGACATTGAGTTTCTTGGGGTAGAAGATGAGTCAAAAGCAGCAGAGACATCTTAGTTTCTGAGTATCAGAGAAATCTCAGGCAGGGGTCAGGCAGAGCCACGGTGTCCACACAATCACACATTTATTGCTGTGCTGTCTGGGGACACCATACAAATGCCAAAGTGCTTTGATTACAGAGGCGAGGGTCTATGATGCCCAGATACCCCTGAATATTTTAAGAACGTTAAGAGTCCAGATTCAGTTTATCCTCCAGATCGGCTCCCATCACCTACCAGCACCCGGATGCGCGCACGCGCGCACACGTGTGTGCTTCACAGCAGCATGAAGTCCTCCCCCGCTGGGAGGAATGTGGGAGAGGTAGAGGTCATTGAGTTTCCTCCTCTTTCATGTCACCTCTTGGCAACCTGTGCCCAGCTTGTAGAAGCGGCATGGGCAGGAAAAGGAAGCGAAAGGGGCTCTGGCCTGCTCCTCCTTGCCCAGGAGCCCAGCCAGCAACTGCAGTCCCGCTGTGAGGTAATGCCTGGCGCCGCCCAAGTGTTCTTGCAGGTCGAGACAGATTCGGGCGGGGTGGGGTGGCAGCCCCAGCCGCGGAGGGCACACAGGGAGAACACCACCAGAACAAGCCTCCCGTGTCGTGGCTCCTCCCCACCAGACCTCAGGGGTCTAGAGTTAGGGGGTGTCCTGCCTCATCTGCACCCCAAGAGCTAATGCCCTCCTAGGAGGGCTCTCCATCGGGAACCCTGGGGTCTAGGCAGGATCTGGAGGGGAAAGTCCACCTCCTCTGGTCTCTGACCTCTCTGCCCAGGTGTTGTAGACCTGCTGAGACGGGTTCAGAAGGCGCCAGAGAGGAACCAGCTGGAGCTGGAGCCTGGCATCCAGCTCCCAGGCCCTCGCCCGCCCTGGCTGCAGCTGCGCCAAGGTTCTCATTAGCAGCTGCCCCCGCCTGGGCGCGGAACACGCTTTGGGCATTTGCCATGAGGCGGTTGGGAATCTTGCAAGTCTCCAGGAAGGCTGAGTAGGAAAGGGGGGCTTTGTCTGCAGCCTCTCCATGCTGCCACTTAAACCAAGAAGACGGGAGAGGAACCTGTCACACTTCAGCAGCTTCCCGGGTACCTAGTGTGACACAGACAACTCTGTGGCCCCTCTCTCTCTCGGGCTGGGGTTCTGGCCAGCCTTGGAGCCAACATCTCATTCTCTGTTGCCCCTGGATTGGTATAGGTCAGGGCCCCGCCCACACACAGTCAATACAGGGGGATGGTCATACAACACGCGAGGGTCGGGTCTGGGGCTCATTAGCCATCACCTGGCTGTTCCAAGACTTCAAGGGCACCTTGCCTCCTGGAAAGCCAGCTCTTTTGTCTCTTGACATGTCCCTGAAGCCCAGGCCTGGGTGGGAGTAGGCCAAGGTGGTCTGGAGTCAGGCACCAAAGCCCCCAATCCAGAGGCCAGCAGGGCCAGGCAGGAGGCCGCTCTGGGGCAGAGGTGCAGACAAGAGTCTCCCCGCCCGTGCTGCTCCGGGCTCAGACTTGCCCTTCCGGGGGTGGGGAGAGGTTCAGGTGAGGACCATGTGGGGGAAACTTGACAAACGCGATGGCAGCCAGCTCCTTGCAGAATTCCTCCAGCACAACCACGCCCTGGAGGAGGGTCTGGTGGTCCAGCCTGAGGGGGGGACACAGAAAAGCGGGGCTGGGCATCCGTGGGCCCATGGCCACAGGACTTGACTCAAGTGGCCAGACACCTTCCCGTCCCCTCAATTACTTACTGTTCCCCAGGCACCTGGCCCATGAGCTGCTTTCGTACCAGGAGCAGTTTGCCCGGGAACTGGGGTACCCTGTGAATTCTCTGCATCAAGTCCCCAATCACCTACAGCAGGAATCAGAGAGGACTGAGATGAAGACCAGCTCGGGACTTTCCTGGCTCTGTCATGCCTTGGGAGGTGGGGGGCGGGAGACCTGTGCTTTCCCTGGCACTGGCAAGTGTGCCCCACCCCCCAGCCTTGACCCCTCCCCTCCTTGGCCCACCAGATCCTCACCCTGACCAGCACAGAGAACAAGCTCCTGCAGCCAGGGGCCAGGTTGATGTAGGGATCCAGAAGGTACTCGTGGATATGGGGGTGGGGGAAGAGGGCGAGCCGGGACAGGACGGAGGTCACTTGCAGGTTCAGGCTGTATGGCTGTAGGGAACAAGATGGACCATGGTGAGGGGTGGTTGGCAGGGGTGGTGAGCATTTCTGCACTCCCCCAGCCAGGCGCCTGGCTGGTGTGAATGTGTGCGGGGGTGGGAGATTCACGTGATGTGTGTATGTGTCATGGATTCCCTGGGGCTGAGGGCCAGAGCGTGTTAGGGCGTGTGGAGCAGAGGCGAGATGGGGCTTCCTGCCCGGGGAAAGGTGAAGGGTGGGGGCTAGGGGAGAAGGCTGGGGTGCTGGGAAGCCCATGAGGGGTGACTCTGGAAAGACCCAACCTGGAATCTTCCTAGGGCCCAGTCCTGCAGGCTACCTGATCCAAAATCCGGGACATGCGGTCAAACAGCACTTGGAGGAAGTGACCCTCAAAGAAAGGCCGTTCCGGCTCATGGGGGTCCAAGGGTGCAGGGCCCAGGGGCCAGCCCCAAGGGGCAACGCGGGAGCTACATTCCTGGAACTGAAGCAGAGTTGGGGGAAGGCAGGGTGACTCTCCGGGACATGGGTTCAGGGCCACGTAGGCAGACTGAAGGGTTTTCACTCCCAGAGCTTGCAAGAACAAGGAGAGGAACATAGGAGTCGCCACTTACCAGTCCATAGGCATCATGGACGTACGTGTCATACCCAGTCTCTTCTAGGAAGGCTGAGGTCTTGGCTTCCTCGGGGACCAGGCAGAGGAAGCTGAGAGACAGGAGCCTCAGTGTAGAGTTGCTTCCTAGGCTCCACCCACTCCCCCTGGACCCCAAAGATAACACACACATGCCTGACCTCCTCACCTGTTGACAATCTCTGTAACGGCTGTTTTACCATCAGAGCTGGTGGTGGGAGCTGGGCGAGGCTTTGCGGAGGGCTGAAGGCCAGAATCGAGGAAGCCATCTGTGAAGTAGGGGTCTTCCTCCAGGTCCCTGTAGCCCGGGGACCAGCATGCATGAATGAATGGACGGATGTGCACAGGTGTGGGCCCAGGGCAGCCCCAGGCTCCTCTCAGTTATACTTACAAGGTGTCCTCATAGCTCTCAGGCTCGGGTGAGCTCCGAGCCACATACAGGCGGCCCTCGAGGTTGCACAGGACCAAAGCACGGACAATCTGCTCGTGGGGCTTCTGGAGTAGCTCTTCAAAGAGCCGCAGCGTAGCGATGCTGATCTGGGGCGAGAGGGGTCAGCAGGATCTGGGCTAGCAGTTCCCTCCCAGCTCCCGGGTGCCTAGGAACTACGGATCCTGTGAGTCTGAGAGTCAGCTCTCTTGGCCAGGGACTTTCAAAGGGTGGGGAAGTGGGGGGAAGGAGGCAGGTAGCAGGAAGTCTGGATAGTCCTACTGGCTTCTCTGTGATTCCATTTCCGCATTAAAAACAAAACAAAACTGGACTGCTTCCTCTAGGTCTCTGAACGCTGCAGTCTCTAAGTCAAATAAGTGAGAAAGCAGTTTGCAAAATACACAGGGCCACAAAGCGCATGCGATCATAGAGCATTACTATGACCAGAACAGTCTGGCCACTTGCTTTGAGAGGCCCAAGGTCTCAGAGGTGGAAACACCTGGGCAAGCTAGCAAAAGTGTGAAGAAGTGCTCAGGAAATGTCTGGGGGAGGTAGGCAAGCAGAGATGAGGGTCCTCCTGCCTCACCTCATCAGAGAGATGGTCACAGTGTGCAATGAGGTGGGCACACAGGGTACGAGGGCTATCTTCCGTATCTGCAGGCTGAGAGTCGGTGCCTAGGAGGAAGACCACCGCCTCCTGAAGCAGCCCAGGGGAGCAGAGCTGGCGCAGCATGGCCGTGAGCAGGGCAGTGGAGGTCAGGATGCTCTGCTCAGATCTGTGGAGAGAGAAGGCACTTTAGCCAGGCTAGCAATGTGCCAAGCCAAGGAGAGAGTGAAGAGGAACACAGAGCAAACCGATGTAGGGGTGCGGAACCCTTCACGCCTGTCCATTCATCTTTGGTGCCTCCCACTCCTACTGAGAACATCATTTAGCCCAAGTGGCTCGGAGCCACATCGTGCACATGGGGGAAAGGCCTGGCTAACACCGGCCAGTGGAGTCCACAGATGTAACTCTGATCAAGCTGCTCCCCAGCCTTTGGGCTGGAAAGGGACTTGAGGCAGTGGTGGAATGGGTGAGCCTGGTGCAGACCAAGGTTATGGACAGGGAACTAGACAGACACTTACACGTGCAGGAGCTGGGGCTGCAGAATCCCCACAAACAGCTTCTCAACCACGGCTTTGGCTAAAGCAGCTGCAACCACCTGGAAGCCAGAGCCAGACTGCAGTGAGTTTACACCTCTCACAATCAACCTAAAGACCCACTACGTTTTCACACAGCACCAAACACGCCAGAGGGGCCTGGTGAGTCCTGGTAACTCCCAGGTTACCATGCATCTGCTGCAGTAGTCTTCAAGACAAGACAGCAAGGCAGAGCCCCAGGAGAGCCCTGGCCCAATCCCGCCCTTGCTTACCGACTGTGCCTCTGTGATAAGGTGGTCGCAGTAATCAAACCAGCCCAAGACGGCAGCCAGAGCCTCCCTGCCAGGGAAGGAAGCCTCATCCGACGGTGCACTGGGCAGCCTGCAGGAGAAGAAGCAGGCTGTCAGAAGCTTCAAGGCCCTCCTCAAGGATATCTTACTTCTGGAACCTTTGGTGACAGGGGTCAGTTAGTTGGGCTTTGTAGTCAGAAACAAAAATAATGCTTTCAGGGGGCAAAGGGGGCCCTTGGGGACTGGCTGGAACTCAGGAAGAAGGTGGCTAATAGGAGCCCCCATCCCAGACAGCAACCAGCCCTGGATGTGGTCCGGCCTTCTCAGGCCAACGACCCACCTCCAGCTGATGCCTTCTAAAGTGGCGATGTCTGCGGGGTCCAGGAAGGCAGGCAGGGACCGGTACAGCTGGCACAGGTGCTCCGCGATTGCGATGCAACAGGGGGTGCTCTGGGCCAGGTAGGCGGCAGCCGCTGGGGAAGCCACGCTCAGGAGAAGCAGCAGGTTCTCCTGGGCCTTCAGGGCCACGCGACTCTTCTAAGGGATGGGAAGACAACTTGAGGGACTGGCATCGAGCCCCCCCATACCACCTCCAGTTTCCCCCGCCCTTGCCATGCCGCCCTTGCCCTCTCTGCAGCACACCTTGCTCTTACACAGCCCAAGGAGGGAGGTGATTAGGTTGCTGTCCCCAGGGCCACCATCTGGCCCTTCCATCTCAGCAGGCAGGTGGCTGTTCAAGGACCGGGCTCCATGGGGCACCGCATCCATTTGGGGACGTCCGTCAGGAAAACTGTTGTGGGAATAGTCCTTGTCCCTGTGGCTGCTTGGGTCCGGAGGCCCAGCTTTCTTCTTGCTTATGATCTTCTTACCCTGAAAAGACGGTAAAAGGAGGCCAGGTTGCAGCAAACATCATTCCATTGCTTGGGGTCTTTCCTTAAAAGTGCAGGGTGACATTAAGATGGCTAGGTGCTGGTGGCTCACATCTGTAACCCTAGCTATTTGGGAGGCTGAGATCTAAGGTTTGTGGCTCAAGGCCACAGACAGTACAGGAAAGTCTGTGGGACTCTTATCTCCAGAAGTGGAGTTGTGGCTCAAATAGTAAAGTGCCAGCCTTGAGTAAAAAAAAGCCAACCAAGAGTGTGAGGCCCAGCCAGGCCCCAGTGGCTCACGCCTGTAATCCTAGCTACTCAGGAGGCTGAGATCTGAGGATCTTGGTTCAAAACCAGCCTGGGCAGGAAAGTCTGTGAGACTATCTCCAATTAACCATCAGAAAACCAGAAGTAGCGCTGTAATGCAAGTGGTAGAGTGCTAGCCTTGAGCTGAAGAGCTGAGAGACAGCGCCCAGGCCCAAAGTTCAAGCCCCACGACTGACAAAAAAAAAAAAAGAGTGTGAGGCCCTGAGTTCAAGCCCCAGTACCAGTACATAAACTAAAAAGGATGGTAACAGTGTTATGTGTGTTTACGACAACTAAAAAGACAAATGCAAGGTGAACAACAGACAGGGCCTGGGCCTAGAGTGCCTCCTGGGAACCCATCTTCCTCTGCCGCAGGGACTCAGGAGCTCCCCCTGGGTGTGGGTCCTCCCGCTCCTGTGCTCTGCAGATGCGCTTACTTCTAGGATGTAAGTGAGCAGCTCTGGGTCTTGCTGGATCTTGGAGCAGAGGACACTGGTGAACTGGACCTCCTCCTTTTCTGTGAGGGACCCGGGGACTGTCCCACCAAGCCGGAGAAGTTTCTGTTAGGGAAGCAGGACAGATACAGGGGAACAGGATGGAGGGAAGGGGGATCCTGTGCCCAGACACCCCTTGGGCTCCTGAGCCTCACCTGCACAGGCCTGTGGACGCTGAGGTAATGCAGCAGGGGGTGCTGCACCTGGGCCAGGACCTTGCTGAAGAACTGGAACACCTGCTGCCGCATGCCTGGGGGGTACTGGGTCGGGAAGGGAGCACCCGTCAGAGGCCAGGTCACTATCATCTCCCAGAACTCTTCCCCAGAGAGCTACAGGGCTCAGAACTTCCTCAGTCACAGCTCAGAGGCCTCCTTTGCTTGCCACCATGTTTGAAATGGGCCTTCCTTGGGTCCGGCCCCCACTCCTGATGATAACTGGCTCTCCTTATCTGCAGATTCTGCTTCCGTGTATTCAACCAACCTCAGATAAAAGTATTTGAACCAAGCTGGGCACGTGGTGGGTCACGTCTGTAATCCTAGCTACTCAGAAGGCTAAGATCTGAGGATCAAGGTTCAAAACCAGGCCAGACAGGAAAGTCTGTGAGACTCTTATCTCCAATAAACTACCAAAACTACCAAAAAAGAAGTGGAGCTGTAGCTCAAGTTGTAGAGTATGAGCCTTGAGCAACAAGAATTTCAGAGACAGTACCTAGGCCCTAAGTTCAAGCCCTAGGACCAGAAGAAAAGGAAAGTATTTTTGAACCAAAAATGTCAAATCTGCACTGAATATGTACAGACTTTTCTTATTGTTATTTCCTAAGTAATGCAGTGTGACAACTATTTTCATAGCAATTACACAGTACTAGGCATTGTAAGTCATCTAGACATTATTTAAAGGTATAGGAGGAGGAAGGGCTGGGAGGTAGCTTGGTGATAAGAGTATTCGCCTCACATATGCAAAGCCCTGGGTTCCATCCTTAGCACCACACATACACACACAATGCTGAGGACATCCCTCAGTGTCCATGGGGCTGGGTTCCAGGACTCTATTGATTTTGCTATCTGAGAAATGGGGTAATGGGGTGCTGGAACCAATCCCCCATGAATTATCCTGTCTACAATGATCCTGCCCCTTAATGTCTGGATCTAGAACACAGCCCAGCATGCCGTACACGTCCTAGGTGTTCAATCCATCTCTGCTAAGAGAGAAGAGCCACAGTACCCACCCCCCGGCCTGGCTTCGCACTCTCAAGTCAGAACACTGGATGGTAGAAAACTTGGCCTAGGAGGCTGGCTGGGGTCTTCAGGGCGTGCGTACCTCAGCCTTGCCCAGGGTGCACAGGGTCTCTAGGATCTTGTGCTGCAGCAGGTATTCCAAACAGGGCCCCGCCTCGCCTGCGGCCGCCTGCTGCCTCTCTTCATACACCAGGATGTCCAGCATCTGCTTCAACCGCCAGGGAATATCTGTCTTCTTGGCTGGGGTGTTCTCATCTAGATGAGTTTCACGATACAAGAATGGGTAGTGAAAGAGTTAAAAACATTACCTTTTTAGCTGGGCACCAGTGGCTCACACCTGTAATCCTAGCTACTCAGGAGGCTGAGATCTGAGGATCACAGTTCAAAGCCAGTCTGGGCAGGAAAGTCCATAAGACTCCAGTAAACCACTAGAAAACCAGAAGTGGCACTGTGGCTCAAGCCTTGAGCTGAAGAGCTAAGGGACAATGCCCAAGCCCAGGGTTCAAGCCCCATGTCCGACAAAAACAAAACAAAAAAAACCCACCTTTTTGTTGGGTGCCAGTGGCTCAGACCTGTAATTCTAGCTACTCAGGAGGCTGAGATCTGCAGATCACGGTTCAAAGCCAATCCAGGCAGAAAAGTTCCTGTGAGACTCTTGTCTCCAATTAACCACTCAAAAACCTGAAGTAGTGCCGTGGCTCAAGTGACAGAGCACCAGCCTTGATCACAAAAACTCAGGGATGGCACCCAGGCCCGATATGGACAAAAACAAACAAACCAAAAAACCCACCCACAACAAGCAAACAGCACCTTCCTCCTGCCAAGTCCAGAAGGGAGAAATCATGCCTGGCAGTTGCGGGGAGGGGCTGAGGGCCCCCAAGAAGTGAAAGTTTACAATTGATCCTAATGCGTTTGAAAATACAGAAGTCCCTGTGGACAAGGCTCAGGACGTGGCCCTCTGCTTGTCCCAGGACGGTATCAGAAGGCACCAGCATCATTTTCTTCCACACTGGGGACAGGGATACATGGTGAGCACAAAGAATGGAAAGTCTTGAGAGCTGCCTGTCAGACGTAGGCCCAGGCTGGCAACTACGGGCAAAAGATCTGTCAATAGGAATTAGCGGCTGTATTCTAGCCCCTTCCTGAGTGACACTTCTAGGGCCTATGTATACCCTCTTTCTATTCATAGAAGGCAGTGCAGTGTTATTCACAAAGCAGAGGGCAGACTGCACACCAGCCATTCCTATTCCAGCACTATGAGGAGGAGGAGGAGCTGCTGGTGGGGTGTAAGGAAGCAGTCTCACAGGGTGTAGTGCTAGAAAAAGCTCCACCAAGCTTGGGCCTGGCCTTGGAGCACCCCCTAGCTTTTCTTTAAGGCATAGGCTCTTGAGCAAGGCAGCTTGCCTCATCCTCTCCCAATGCCTCTAGTCTAGCAACCATTCTGGAAGCTAAAGGGCCAAAGCCCCACCTTAGGCAGAGCCTTAGTGCTGGCCCTTGTCCTACTCTCTTGTGGACTGGAGCTCTTCGGTAACAGATCTTTAGCCTAAAGGGGTGGCTCCCAACTGTGGAGCAATTTTATGCACTAGGGAACATTTAGCAAAGTCTGGAGACATTGGTTGTCGCTGGGGGAGGTGATACTAGTATCTCGTAGGTAGAGGCCACATTTGCTGTCCCTCAATGAGGATGCACGGGATATTCCTCCCTAGCGAGTGACGTTGTTCAAATGTCTACTGTGCCAAATCTGAGAAATTTCAAGTGACAGACCCCTTGAAGGGTTCTTTATCATGTCCAAAGACAACCACTTTGTCGGGGGGCTAACACTTTCAAAAGGAGGCCTTTAAGAAAGGGATAGGCTGGAATCAAACCCATACTCAACTGGTAGAGATGGAAAGCTAGGGATGCAGAATTTCCATTCCTAGCAACCAGTTTATATCCACCAATAAGGGTGAATTGACTACAGAGTATCCAATGAGAGCCTGTTCCTTAGTAAGTGGTTATAGTGGGCCAGACAGATGACTCAAGGCTTTGGCACTCAGAGATGTCAGCCTAGAAAGAAGGAACCAGACATGCTCTATACCTTGGTTTTCATTCTCCTATGACCTCAGCTTTCTTTAAGGCAAATGTCCTTCAGTTGGCTTAAGGAAGGGGGAAATTTGTTCCTCTTGGGGCCTGAAGGCCTGGGGGCGGGAGGGTGGGGGAGAAGCTGAGGGCAAGCGGAGCCACTTCTGCCTTACAGCAAGATCCTCAAACTCCTCGTCTCCCCACATCCTTCCTCTCCTGGAAAGGTCAGGGTGGGGCCATCAACTAATCCATGAGGACTAAAGTGACCAGAGTTCTCCACCTTCCTTCCATCCATCTGTCCCCATCTTCATTGGTCAGCCCCAACTCTAGGCAGTGGATACCTGGTGACCCTCTGCCCAGACTTTCCTCCCAGCTCCCTCCTGGGGTTCTGGTCTCTCTCCTGGGGTTCAGACTGGGCGGAGCAGGCCCTACCTGTGCTCTCGATGTAATAGTGTGTGATACCCTTCCAGTGTTCCACGAAGGCCTGCAGCAGGTCGATGCTGGGTTCCCGCTGCAGAGAGAGCAGAGACACCGCCTCAGTGAGGCCTCGAGCGAGCCCCGCTGCTGCACCGGCAGCCTGGGTGCTCTCTTGAGCTTGCTCTGCGTCACGTCAGGTGGGCACTAGGCCTCGGAGGATGAGCTCCACTCCTAGTTTTTCACAGGGAATATTGACAAGTCATCACTCCAGAACACAAAAGCCCAGTCCTCACATCTTTTTTTTGTTTGGTCTGGGCCTGGGCACCGTCCCTGAGCTCTTTAGCTGAAGGCCAGCGCTCTACCACTTGAGCCACAGCGCCACTTCTGGGTTTTGGGTGGTTTATTGGAGATAAGAGTCTCAGGGACTTTCCTGCCTGAGCTGGCTTTGAACCGCGATCCTCAGATCTCAGCCTCCTGAGTAGCTAGGATTACAGGCCACCAGAGCCTGGCCTAGCCCTCACATCTTACCCAAAGTCTCTTGGCACACTCCCCTCCTTATTCCTTAGCTCCTGACCCAGAGGAGCTAAGCACAACTGGAGGGAAAACAGACACCACACATTCCCATGTGACCCCATCAGGCTGCAGCTGCAGGAGACAGGAATGCACAGGACACTCCCCACAGGAAAACTGCTGAAATGATAGAGATGGAAAATATGGCAAAGACACAGCTTTCTGGTTTCTCTCAATTTCAGTTGCTCTACAAAAATCAGTCATCAAGGCCAAGGCAGGCTCTCTTCAGCCAAGAAGTAACACTAGCAAACTATAAAAGAAATGCCTTACTTATAACGTGCTTTATTCTTGTGTCGCAGGCTTCTAGCTTTACCTCTAACACCTTTCCTTAGCTGGCAATGCCCTGTCCTCCAGCCCCCTACTTTCTCTTCTGTTGCCCTTGGGAGTTCTAATGCTGGACATCCCTCCCCCCAAAATTTTCCACAAACACTCCATCTCCATACTCTGGCTGGAAGTGGCCTTGAACTGATAACCACCATTTTCTCTGAAAACTTTCCCAAACAAGGTCAATCTCTTTCCTGACAGAGTAAATGTTTGCAGAAGAAAAAGAATACACCATACACGGTTCCTATCCCAGAGGTATTCATTTCCACCTGTAGGTCTTTTCTCAGGACACTTATGGGGGGCCCATGGACCTCTACATTTGTCTAGTTCCTGAGAACTCCTAGTGGGCTCCAGCCAAGGACCATCTGCTCCATGGAACCTCCCAGCCTGCACGTTTCTCTCTCCAGCAATGTGCTTTCTAGTGCAACACAGCTGGCCGTCTGTTCAAATTATTCATTCCAGAAATACCTTGTGAACCCCTACTAGGTGCAGGATGCCTTGCTAGATACTGCAAGCAAATCTAAGGAAGAGTAAGCCTCAGTCCTCAGAAAACGTGCCAAGCCAAGAATGTGAAATGACACTGAATCATTTACAAAGCAGTGTGCATTCCCAGGAGAGGCAGAAGGGATCTCTCAGAAAAAAAGAGAGATCATTTCTAACAGACTACAACCAAGAAAGCTTTACTGAGGTCCCACCTGAACTCAAAGCTGAACTGGGTCACATTTCAACAGTGTAGGAGGTCATTCATTCCCTGGAGAAGAACCTGGGCAAAGGGCATCTGAGGAAAAGCCAGCAATGCCCTTGTGGGTCTCCAAGGCCAAGCCACAAAGCCCAGATATTCTCTACAAGAAGCAGGTCAATGCCACCTTCTGAGCAGTGTTGGGGAAAGATCCATCTGGTAATGTCATGACAAAGAGGAGATAAAGGGAGGGAGAATGTTTAGAAGGCCATGGTAACAGGGAGTATGGGACAGCACTGCATCAGAGAGAGGAGAGGGAGGCATTCCCACGTTGGTTGCTGGCAATCTTGACTTCTTTCAAAGATAGTTGTAGGTGCAGTGACCCTTCTTCAATGGCTGCATCCATGGTTCTTCCCGATAGTCCTGCCTTGTGACATTCGGTACGGCCTCCTTACTGCTGGGCTTCTCCAGGAGGAAGACCTCCTTGAGGATCACAGTTCTGCTTCCTACCTGTTGCTAAATAGGACTGTGCACAGCTTTTTGCCAAGTATCTCAGCAAACTGTGGATACACTGTGCCCATATTGCCTTATCTGAGGAAGACTGAGGACCCTTCACTAGCACCAGTGCTGTTTCTGGGATGAAGGTCTCATGTAGTCTCAGATTTCAGTTACAGCATCCGAAGACCTTCAGCTGGGCTGCCATCAAAGGGAGTGTTCAAATAAGGCTGGGAGGCCCAAGAGAAAGGTCAGCCAGTGCCTCCCAGAGAGGGCCGAAATCTCTACCTGAATCTACAACCAGCTACTTTAACGCCAGACCAAAGAAACGGTACCAAATGATTTCTTTTTAAAGACAATTATTATTTTTTAAATAGCCATAAAAGCAAAATGGTACTCACTAGACACTCCATTGAAAATGAACTATAGAACTTGTAGGTGGGGACAATATAGAAAACTGGGAGTGAAGGAAGGAGTGACACTGTCCCAAAAGAAATGTACTGCTTCACCCGACTTGTGACACTGTAACCCCTCTGTACATCGCTCTTATAATAACGAGAGAGAGAGAGAGAAAGAGAGAGAGAGAGAGCCAGGCACTGCTGGTGGCTTACACCTGTAATTCTAGCTACTCAGGAGGCTGAGACCTGACGATGGAGGTGTGAAGCCAGCCCCGGCATGAAAGTCCATGAGACTCATCACCAATTACCCACCAAAAACTAGAAGTGAAGATGTGGCTCAAGGTGGTAAAGCACTAGCCTTGAAAAAAAAAAATCAGGGACAGTGCCTAAGCCCTGAGTTCAAGCCCCATAACCAACAACAGGATAAAAAAAAAGAAATAGGCTGGGCGCTGGGGCTCACGCCTGTAATCCTAGCTACTCAGGAGGCTGAGATCTGAGGATCGCGGTTCAAAGCCAGCCCGGGCAGGAGAGACCGTGAGACTCCTATCTCCAATAAACTACCAGAAAACCGGAAGTGGCGCTGTAGCTCAAGTGGTAAAGCGCTCGCCTTGAGCTGAAGAGCTGAGGGACAGCGTCCAGGCCCAGAGTTCAAGCCCCACGACCGACAAAAAAAAGAAATAGCCATAAAGATTTCTACTCTGTCTGGACAGAGAAGGCAAACTGCAGCTGCAGCTTCTTCTTCCTCTCTCTCTCTCTCTCTCTCTCTCTCTCTCTCTCTCTCTCTAGTGTACACACACGTGCACTAGTGCTGGGGTTTAAACTGAGGACTTTTTAGACTTTTTCTCTCAAGGCTGGTGCTCTACCATGTGAGCCACACCTCTACTTCTGGCTTTTTGCTTATTAGTTGGAGATAAGGATTTGCCTGCCCAAGCTGGCTTTGAACCTAGATCCTCAAATCTGTCTTCTTAGTAGATTATAAGTATGAGCCCCCTGCACCAAGTAAAAGGATCCCTCTTCTTGAGTCACATCCAACTGGTGCGAGTGGAAAGATCTGGAGAAAGATCTAGACCCCAGACACGGGAGGGGAGCTGAAAAGGGGGATTCCAGTCCGGAAGAAGTCACACACAGCCAGTCAAACTTCTAGAACATCTTCTATACTCTGCCATGGAGAGTGGAAAACCTTGACTTAAAAGCATCTGCACTCCCAACATCTCCTCAGGCCATGGATGCCTGAGCTTCCCGCATTGGAAGCATAAGAAATTAGTCCCCAGGCTTAGGGCATCACACAGGTCCTGTCCATCTCTCTACCCTCCAAGTAAGTGTAGTGGTCCCCAGAGGTATGAATACATTAGATGATCAAAACACATTCTACATGTTTTGATGGGGGTAAGGAGGAAGGAAGGAAAGCTGATTTGAGAACCTCACCTCCATGGGATGCCTAAGCCTCTCCACTCCTTTCCCAGCTCAGGGCTGGTCAAGCAGAGTATTTCTTTCTTCACAAGTTTGCCTAAGGCAGAGGCTGATATCATTAAGAGCCTTGATTGAGGGGGGGTGGGGTGGGGGGAGAGGTGTTGAAGAGGAAAGGAGTGAAACCAAGGTCCTTTCTCCAGAGACAACTGATAAGCTAAACTCATCAATTAGAGGGTGGATTTAAAACTCAGACAAAATAATTAACCTTACTGCCAGCTTCTTCCAGAGAAGGGTCTGTCCCCAGTCTAGACTGCACTGTGATCATGCCGAATGGGGCGAACCACAGTGGGCTGCTGGGCCTGCCCGCATGGCCTCCCCGACCCCTACCACGGCCAAAACACACACTGACCACGTGAAAGTCAATCGTGTCCCGCACACCGGGTGGGGCGGGCTGGCCTCTCCCGAACTCAAGGTCAGTTTGGTTTGTGCGGAGGGAGATGCTTTCCGGACCCCGCGGGGCGGGGCCTGGTGGAGTCGCCCCGGAGCTCGGCGGAGAGGAGTGACGCGAGCGGGGCACCAGGGAGGAGGGCGGGCCGGAGCGCCCGCGGGGGCCCGCGGGGGACCGGCTGCGACGGCTGCGGACGGGGATCGCTCAGGGGGAGAGGGTCAGGGAGCCCGCGGAGGCTCCGGGGCGCAGGAAACATAAACAGGAAGCGGTGTGGAAGCGGAAGCGGGAGCGGGAGCGAGGAAGTGGGGCGGTCCGGGGAGGATCCGGGGTGAGGCGCGCCCCGGGGACCAGCGATCCCAGCGGGGCGCGCGGGGCGGGAGGAGCGCGACCTGGCGACCGGAGGCCCGGAAGCGGCGCCCGGGCCCGGGAAGGGTCCCCGCCCGAGGGGTGTGCGCCCGCCCGCCCCCGGCCCCCGCGCCCGCCCTTCCGGCCCGGCCAGCCCCGGGCTCACCGCCCCCACGGCCTCCTGCAGCAGCGCCCCGAGCCGGCTCAGCATGATGGCGGCCCGGCTCGGATCCTGGCCCGACTCCGGGCGGCGGCGGCGGCGGCGGCGGCGACGCAGGGCCGGCGGAGGAGGCGACCCGGTGGGGGCGGGACCCTGGGGCGGGGCCTTGGAAGGGGGCGGGGCTTGTGGGCGGGGCCGGAGCCGGAGCCCCGCCCCCGGCCGGTGGGCGAGGGTCGCTGGGCCCACGCACCCCCAGACCGCACGGACACTCGTCCCCGAGACGCCTGCGGGAGCCGCGGAGCGCGGGGTGCTGTGGGGGAGCGGGCGGACACCCCGATCCGGTCTTCAGTGAGGACTTGGAATTTCTTTTGAATTAAAGGTGTGGATTCTTAAGTCTCTGCTCCCCCGGGCCACGGAGGGCTTGCAAGGGGCTCCTAACTGAGGCCCAGGGTCAAGGGCACCCTCCCCCGCCGCCTGCCGCACCTGCTGGGGAAAGAAAGGATGCCAGCAGTTCCCTCCCTGGTCATGGATCCCATTGTGTCATGCTGAAATATAAAACACTAGAAAGACTGAGCATATAAGCGTATTTGTAAAATTAATTTCACTTGTTGCTTCGTTTTTCTAAGTGATAACTAGAAAACAATCAGCAATGTGTTCGGCTCCATTGTGTTTCGGTTCCCCAGCCTGCTCTAAGGGTCCCTCGTACCTTTCTAGCCTATTTAACAACGACGACAAAACCCAAACAGAACTCTGGTCTCTGTGCAAGGAGCAACTCGGAAGCCCTAGGAAAGGAGCCTGTGTGTGTGTGTGTGTAAGCACAGTAGAGAAAAAGCCTTTGAAAGGTAGGCAGGAGACCTGAGTTCCAATCCAGCCTCACACTCTTCAGGTCCTCAGGTCTACTTCCTGCTTTTCTCCCCTCCCTGTGTTTCAGGTAACTCCAGGGAATCATGAGTGTGCACTAGGAGTTCATGACCTTTAACTTGACTTTTTAAATGTTAATAAGGGGCCTGGTCTAGAGAGTTGTGGTTAGGGTCCCAGGCCCGCCTAAGGGAAATGAGACACAATGCATTAGTATTAATTGACTGGAACGGAGATGTGGCTCAAGTGGTTGAGAAAGTGCTGCCTAACAAGCACAAAACCCTATGTTCAAACCCCAGTACTGCCAAAAATAATAATAAAATAGCGTGCGCGCACACACACACACACACACACACAAGCGCGCGCACACACACACACGCAAGCCAAAGAACTGGGAGTGATGGTACATGACTCTAGTCCCAGTGCTTTTGAGGCAAATGCAGGAAGATTATTAGTTCAAGGCCAGCCTACGCGATAGAGACCTTGCCTCAAAACAAACAAAAAATCAACTGAAAAATAGTAGTGCTAGCTACTACTCAGGAAACATCCATCCAGATAATAGTTTGAAGCCAGCTGGAGCAGCAAGGTATCCAATTAGCCAGTAAAATGCCAGATTGGAGGCATGGCTTAAGTGGTAGAGTGCCAGCCATGAGCAAGAAAACCCGTAGTTTACACCCAGGTATCAGGGCAAAACCAAAACAAATATTCACACTGTATGTGTTACGCCAAAAAAAAAAAAAAAAGTGTTGGTGATTTCCTTTAAAAAAATATACTGGGATTTGAATTCAGGCCTTAGCTACTTTCTACTCAGATGGTGCTAACCATTTGAACTATGTTCTCAACCTGTTAGTGTCTTTTCTGATGTATTGGATTTTGCTGCCACTGTTAGTTCATTTGGGGATGACCTTTGCAGAAAGCTTATTCTGTCACTCCAGGTAGAATGAAGGTCACTGACAGCTGGCTCTTTCAAATGCAAAGGTGCTAAGCCCACAGACATGGAGAGGACCCTAGCACTGCCTTGCTTTTTCCTTCCTTCCTTCCTTCCTTCCTTCCTTCCTTCCTTCCTTCCTTCCTTCCTTCCTTCCTTCCTTCCTTCCTTCCTTCCTTGTTTTGTGCCTGTACTGTGTGGCTTGAACTAGGGTCTGGATACTCCTTTAGCTCTTCACTCAAGGCTGGCACTCTACCACTTGAGCCACAGCTCCACTTCTGGCTTTTTGATGGATTAGTTGGAGATAAAAGAATCTCACAGACTTTCCTACCTGGGCTGGCTTTACACTGGGATCCTCAGATCTCAGCTAGGATGGATTACAGACATGAGCTAGGAGTGCTTGGCTTGGAAGAACTTTTTTTATACATCAGACAGTTTCTTTGTTCCATACTGATTACATAATTAACTACAAAATTCAACCTAAAAAACAGTAATAGATTTTAGTTTTTGACAGTCTGGGGCTTGAACTCAGGGCCTGGACACTGACCCTGAGCTTCTTTTGCTCAAGGCTAGCACTCTATCACTTGAGCCACAGTACCACTTGTGACTTTATCTGTTTGTGTGGTACTGAGGAATGGAACCCAGGGCTTCATGCACGCTAGGCAAGCACTCTACCACTAAACTACATTCCTAGCCCAAGATCTAACTTTAAAAAAAGCTTTGCTTAAAAAAAAAAGTTTGTAAATAACTGGAGGGAATATAGCAGGTTTTATGTCTGAGGAGCCTGGGGGATATTTCCTAAGGCTTTGGTTTAAGGACCTAGAGTCCTGCCTTGAGTAGCTCTAAATTCCCAGGAACTTAAAATACTCTGGGACTTGGTATCAAATGATCAAATTACACAGTATCCACTGGAGCTTGCAATGCTGACATTTCCCCTGTCAGCCGGGGAGCTTTGATAGACAGGGGTCTCCCTGGCCAGGTCATTGCTGTGTCCCTAGTGCCTAGCATGGTAATAAGTAAAGCCTGGTTTTGCTCCTTCTTGCCTGTCCTGTCCTGCTTCCCTTCAAAAACCAGCCCTACACATTGGGAAAGGTCTAGAGAGTTTGATGTTAGAGCATTTGCCCAACATGATCAATGTATTGAGTTCAACCTCTAGCAACAATAACAAAATCAGCAACCTGGAGGGTTGGTCCCCAGTCCCAGCTCATGAGTCGTATGTGAATTATCTCTGTTCCACAATTTTCTCATTTGTTGAAATGATAAAAATGACCTGTCTTACAGGATATGGTGGTGCATGCCTGTAATCCCAGCACTTAGGAGGCTGAGGCAGAAGAATCCAGAAGTCCAACAGTAGTCCAGAATCCCATGGTCCTGTCTTGAGAGAGAGGAGAGAGTGGGAGGGAGGGGGTGTTAATGGGCACCAGACCTATAATCCTAGCTACTATTCAAGAGGCTGCGATTGAGGATCACAGTTTAAGAAGCCAACCAAGGCAAGAAAGTCTCTGAGCCTCTTATCTCCAATTAACCTCAAAACAGTGGGAAGTACATCTGTGGCTCAAATGGTAGAGTGCTAGCCTTGAGCACAAAAGCTTAGGAACAGTGCCCAGGCCCAGAGTTCAAGTCCCAGGACTAGGGAGGAGCAGGGAGAGAGAGAAAGAATGAGCGAGGGGGGGGGGGATGGGCTAAAGTTCCGTGTGACTCACAGATTTGTTATAATGATAAAGAACTCTTACATAATTTAAAATATGCAACAGCACTCTTCTAAAATACTTGCTCAAGTTTGAATGATTATTATACACCTTGTACTCATTTTAGCCAAATGACAGGAAGATCGCCTGGAGCCTTGGTCTGACCTCAGCTCCTGTGCTACGGTCCTGTCTTGGACATCACCCGCTCACTGGTCCGTCAACGGCACACCTCTTCATGCACCCACTCAGCCTGTTCTAATCAGGTAATAACCAGTGTGTTCCCCCCCCCCCGCCCCTGCCCATCAGCTCCCCTCATAGACTTTGAGCCCCCAATCATATCTGCATCCCACAGCCTCCCTGCAGACATGAAGCTCCACAGCTTTTCCCCTGGGGAGGTCTTGGTTGACCAAACCGCCATCTCTTTCCCTTGGTTTCTACCTGATCTCTGCTCTTGCTGGTTTTCCTTTCCTGACTGATCCTTGACAGTCAGCTCAGGATACTGTCACACACTGGGGTTATATTGGGTGTTTGGCGTCCACAGTGAACAAGGAGCACCCTGGGCCCCATGGAGATGAACTTGACCGCCAAGGTAAGCAGAGGCCTTGGAGAAGTGTAAAGGCCCTTGTTCTTTCCAGCCCCTAGACACAAGTTTCTGTTCCCACCCTGCTACCATCACAGAGCCCTTGAAGAGGCTGCAAGGAAGCCCAGCTCCCGCATTCATAACCAGTCCCTCTGCGTCCATCATCAGCCCCCTGTAGCCATGACACAATGAATTGGGAAAGGGTAGTAGATGCCATCTGTCTATCCCCTCCAACTCTTTTTCTAGAAACATTTTTGTGTAGCTACTGGGGCTTGAATTCAGGGTCTCATGCTTTTGATTAGTTTACTCATAAAGAGATGGTAGTCAGGAGGTGAAAATCAGGAGGGTGAGAATTTAAGGCTAGTCCAGATAAAAAGATAGTGAGATACAGCCAGTATGGGATGGCTCACAACTGTAATTCTGGCTGTTCAGGAGGCTGAGATCTGAAGATCACAGTTTGGAACCAGCTGGGCAGGAAAGCCCGTGAGATTCTTATCTCCAATGTAACATCAAAAAACCTCAAGTGGAGCTGTGAATCAAGCAGTAGAGTGCTAGCCTTGAGCAAAAAAGTTCAAGGAGAACATTGGGGCCCTAAGTTCAAGCCCCAGGACTAGAACAGAAAAACGCAAACAAAAACATAATTATACCCATCTTAACCAATAATTCAGTGTGGTGTCTTACACCTGGCATCCAGCTATGTAGGATAATAAAACAAGAGGATCATGGTCCAAGCCAGATGCCAGTGGCTCACGCCTGTCATCCTAGCTACTCAGGAGGCTGAGATCTGAGGATCGTGGTTCAAAGCCAGCCCAGGCAGGAAAGTCCATGAGACTCTTATGTCCAATAAAAACCACTAGAAAACTGGAAGTGGCGCTGTGGCTCAAGCGGTAGAGCATTCATCTTGAGCTGAATAGTGTGGAGACAGCGCCCAAGCCCAGAGTTCAAGCCCCACAACCGACCAAAAAAAAAGAGGCTCATGGTCCAGGTTAGCCAGGTCAAAAAAAAAAAAAATGCAAGAACCTATATAAAAATAATGAAGGCAGGCTGG